ACGATAATAATTTTAAATATGAACTGCTAGACATATTATCAAATGTATTCAAGTGACTTAATGAGTATCCCTCGCGAAATTGCATTGGTTGGTTTATTTATGGTAATTAAATTGAAATATGTAGGTTAGATTATTTGCTGCTAATGCAGAATCGTGTTGGGTAAAGTTAATTACCCCTGAAATATATGCAAACATTTTGCGCAAATAACACACCACTAAAGGCAGAGGCACACAGAAGTTGTGTGCTCATCATAAAATAATGCAAATTTTAGATCATTAATTTCAATCAAATGATTGATAACAAAGCACACTCACACACACACACGCACGCTCGCAAAGGCTTCTACTGTAGATATTAACCACTAACATTGTATGCTACTTGAGAGCCAATTTCCAGCTTGTTATTCGGCACCCCTTTCGAATGGATCGGCCCCTAATAAATCCGGTGACAATTGTTACATTAATGTCAATAAGCCACAGACATAGCAATTTTCGAGCATTTACATGGCGAGCAACATTTGTATCTCATTTTGGGCATAGGCCGCAACCACAGTCGCCCGCTGCCTTGCCACACCCCCTTGTCAAAATATTTGACTCGTGGCTGCATAAACATTTCAGTCTCTCTTGATGATGGCAATGAGGATAAGCACGATGTTGAGGATAATAATGTTTTTGGCTTTGTTGACGTGAACGTTGGCTTTATTACTTTGACACTTTGCCTGCTGTTTAGATATTGCCAACCAACCCGCCCGTCCGCTTCACCCTCAATCCGACTCAAAGCAATCTATCAAAGTGTTAAATATAAACTCGCAAATACTTTATATGTGCTGGGTCATCAATCAATTTTATAATACTCAATGCCACTCAACGATTTTTTCTTGGCTCCGACAGAAGACAAAGGACAATGCTAATTCGTTGCTGTGATTTTCACAATTGAAATGCTGTTTAATAAGTATTAATATTTAGTTGCAAAGCTAATATATACGGATAATTTCTGTGAATAACACCTCTCTATGCCATGTAGCTCATTATTTATGTGATCAACATAACCAACTTTGAATTTTCTCAGAATGAGTTGAATCGGAAGCTACAAAAGCTAGAAACTTGAAATTTAAAATATATACTTATTCGATACCTCGTCTCATTTGCATAAACAAAATTAGTAGGGTTAGATACATCAAGTTCTCATATAGTATGCGCAGATTTGTATATTTAGCTTTTCGGATACTTTCCCTATATTCCCAATATTGATGGTAGAGCCTATCGCCGAGTCTATACAACAATGCGAAGTGCTGAGCAACCGGAAATAAAACGCTTTTTATCCAATTTGTAACTTCCGGATAAAAATGGCTTATAGTTTTATTTCACAAATTATACCTAATTGTAGCAGAATAAATCAATATGCATAATATTCACATATTCATATATCATAACAACGTAATATGCTCCGTTAAGTGCAATATCAGCCAATTTGCCACAAATTGAAGGCCAATTAACCCATCAACTAGACAAACAAGGGGCCTACATTGATGCATATAGCCACTGACTGCGCACGTAATTGCAATTATAAAATTAAAGGTAAACAATACGAGAAACAAATAAAAAAGTTAAAAATGCAAAACAAAAATACACATATAATTATAGAGCATAATTGAAGCCCAGCGCCTGACATATAATTAAGTTGCTGACCGTATTTGACCCCCAGCTGACAGCGAGATGGGAGACAAGCTGACAAGCGCATAGGCTCGTGGGCAATTTAATTAATATGTTGGCATTGTGAGATGCAACAGAAATATGACAGGGACACACCCAACTAAAGGCGTCCGTCGCTCCTTCCTCGTCTCCCTTAATATGCCCAGTCCTCAGAGTATAGTTAATTCCTTAGCACGATTCTTCACTCTGACTTGCTGCACTTCTAACGTGCGTAGTCCGCGCTCGTCATAGTGTATTGAACACACAGTCAGATAAAAGAGAGGGAAGTGGTTAGCCAGGGGTAACCCCTCGGTCTATCTACCTTTCCTTTTGAGCACGCGCCATCAAGTTTTCTAAGCATTTTCGGCACATTTGTGCGGCTTGACATTTTTATAGTTTCATCAAACTGTTCTAATTCGTAAAGTTATAAAACTGGCCGCGAGTTTGGCACTCAGTTAAAATTTTGGACATTTAAGTAGTTTTATTGCCGAACGGCGGTCAATGAACTAAAAGACCCAAAAGGGATGACACATGCGTGTTAATCTCTAATTTGCTAGACGATCGTTGCCAGATACACACACACACACATATGCACATTCAGAGCCAGCGGGACGCAACGGCACGGGTAGAAAGTTGACAGGACCTTATGCTCGTAGTATTTTAAATGCCAAAACTCGGCGTGTTTCGAATTTCGGTATCTAAAGTTGTTTTTCTCATTTTAATGGCGCTATTTTCATTAGGCAAATGTGTGTCCGCATTTTTTTGCTTTTTAGATAAAAAATGTTCTCCTCATTAGCATATAAAATGAATGGATGGGTAGAGGGGGGCAGCGAATTGTCCTTTTTAATGTGTGTATACACATTTATTGCATATTCATCATTTTAATTGCTTGTTTTTATACAAAATGACTCGATAAGGCTTTTAAGGTTATTTGGAGGATACGCCACATGTCCTGTGGCGAACGTAAGAATATCCCCGTAATCAGTCAAAACAGTCTCAACATGTTCAAGGATGATTTTAAAGATATTTCTCGATATATTAAGTAAATAAATAAAATACAACTTATGTCCTAATATAATAAATAAGTGGCTTTAACCTTCTGTCTATTTCCCTCAATCATTTGCTGCTGCTCTCTCTCTCTCTCTCTCTCTCTCACTAGGACTCCCATCAGTTATTACAATTTTTTTATTTTTCTCTTGTATATTCTTTCTTTCTCGTTTTCTAACATATAACCTCCCTATGCGATATTCAAAAATGTAAGCAAGGTATACATATTTTAGGAACATATATAGGAACTTACGAATGATTGTTTATTGATATACCCATGAACAAATTGTGGCACAGGGTATACAAAGGAAAAGTCAACGGCTGCGCCAACACGAAAGAAGGTATAGGACATGATTACTTTTGCTTTTGTTTTTGATTGTCGCTGTGAAGTCAAGAAAGCGTAGAGCATAAAGAGCAAAGAAATTACTTTGCCAACGAATGAATGGATATGAATAAACAAGTGATCAATGCAATGAAAATGATTGTCTGTGCATTGTAGCATCGAATGCTTTACAATTGAGCGCACAAAGTGTTGCATTAAGAACAATGTGCCAAAGAATCCAATGTGGCCATGGGGGTTGTGAAGAAGAAAAACACTTAGATTCAAAGGCTACAACAATTTTAATGACAACAAGAAAACAAATTGCGAATAAAAACTTTTTTTTTTTCTTTCTGGCTCCACAATTTCTATGCGCTGTAAAAGTTAAAGGCCTTTAGTATTATATTCGAGTTGATTTGTAAACTACCTACCAATATTTTAAATAATTCACAACTCAACTGCAGCAACCGCAAGCAGAGCGACCCACGCACTTGCATCTGCAGCAATTACGGCAGCCGGCACCAGGTCTAATAGGGGCAGCATCGTTGGCTGGTTCCACTGCTAGTTCGGCAACAATGCATTCCTGGGCCGCGCAGAGGACGACAGCGAATAGGATCAAGATCTTTATGTTGAACATAACGAGCTGGAGTATATGCTCTTGATACGAATTTATTGGCACTGTTTAACGACGAAGCAGCTCAACGGCTATTTATAGGTAAAGATCGTGAAATGTAATTGTTTAAGCAGTTGTACTGATGGATATTTTAGTAATTATTGTTTTTTTTTTAAACATTTAAAACTCTTGTTTTCAAAGTTCAGTATACTAAAGGTAAGCATATAAAGGTATATTCAGATGAGGAAGCTAGACGAATATGGTAAGCACTCTCTAAATTCTATCTGTCGGCACAAGGCGGTATCTATCTTTATATATATATTTGTGATTAAATAAGTGTTTATTTATCTTAAATTAATTAAGTCTTCGATATTCTAAGTACAGTAGCTGATGTATACTGTTGTGTACAGGGCATATACTAGTCACGTTCACCCGAATGAAAAGCACTGCCTGTTGATTATTCGGATACAACTGACCCCTGAACTGCAAAATGCTATTTACTCTTTTTATGAATATTAACAATATTTATCAACTATAAATATTTAAACGGGGCTGACTTTCATAACGAATATTAAAGCTTGAACAAATATTGTAAAGTGTCAGATGTTTTCAAAATATTTATAGACCTCAACATTCACATGTTTTTGGGGTAAAAGACTTGCTGAAAGTCATCTCTTTAATTAAGCATGAACAAAATAAAAATGTAATTTATAAATTCCGTGCTCTATCTTAGATTTCAATATTATTTTCTTAAAAAAAAAACGGGATTCCATAAATATACTTTTAAATATTTAAGTACTTTGTTTTAGAATAAAAGAAATGCATAGATATCCAATATTCCTATAGAACTTTTGGCTATTTGACCTGTTATAAAAGCGTTGCATATTCTCCAATTTCTTGAAACTGAGATATGGCTAAAACGTTATCTATCCCAATATAAGAATGAAAACTGCAATCTTTTTTAACTTTCTTGTATAATTTTAGAAATGTTTTTAGGAACCAATATTTTTATCAGCAATAAAAGTATTCCTTTTGCTTATTTATAACATTATTAAATATTTTTATTATATTGATTACAATTTTTTTTGTCAGTTAATTTAAGTATAGCTATATAGCAACACTTCTTTTGGAAATTTTCGATATCAAATCAGCATCATTATCAGCACAATCCCAATAAATAAATAATAAGTAAATATTTGACCAATATTACGAATATAAAAAAAAAGATTTGAAAAAAATTAGTTCAAATATTTAATAAGAACAATAAGAAACAACATATGGAAAGCTTTATGTCGTGATCGTCAACAATGATTTTTAGCGCAAGGCAATTCATTTTATCAAAGAGCATTTTTTGTAGGACACATAAGCTGAAAAGAAACAAAAGTATGTCAAGATGTTGTGTTAGTTTTTTGTTACTACTTAAACTCACCCTCATTCTTTTCGGCTGAATATTTCTGTAGTTGGCAGAAATTCTTAAACGTTATTTCGTCTATGGTACCCGGCTTGTCCGGACAGCCGCATTTTGGAGGCTTAGGGAAGTAGGCTTTCACGGGTCTTCCCCAGAGGCATACCTTCGGAATGAAATGCTTGCATAGTTTCTCCGTTACGGGCACAATTGCTGCAAAATCAGTATTGATCAATTCTATTAAGACAGTTTGAACTTTTCCGGAAAACTTACGTGTTTTATGATTCTTAATCCTAAGCTCGTTTTCTGCATCCCTTAGGCAAGAATTTTGGAATGGTCGACAGATGCAATCCACAAGTGCCCAACACAAGTCTTTCTTATAGATGTTACACTTAGAAGGAACTGTAGGGTTGGGAATTATTACAGTAGCTTCGACCACATAGAAGACAGCAGCAAACAAAAAGAGCACTCGGAACATTTCGATAATGTGGAGAAGAGGACACTTAACCACAAGCTAGGTGAGACAATTCAGTTTTCTACTTTTGATCAATGGCTTTTTATAGCTTTTTGTTGGGAGGGAATAATATTAGTATGTGTATTATTTCAACAGTTGTTCGCTAACTAAATAAAAACCAAAAATCTATATTTATAAGCTGCCATTTGTGATATTGCGTTGACTCAGCCAAGTATTTTTAAATACATGAGAAATTGTAGCTGAGGCGTGAGAGTTGATGTTTGCTTGGAGATAAACATCCTTTAAACAGCTTCCACTCAGACAACTCATTCAAAGCTGTTAAACCGGCTTAACTCGGTTTGTAACATAAAATATGGGACAAAAATAAGCAAAAATGTATTCAAATAATAATAATAAAATGTAAGATACGCCCATAAATAATTATGACACCTTTTCAGCGGTTCGTAATTACATGCAGCAGTCATTAGCTCATTAACATTAGAAGAGCGGCAAGTGGCGAGGACTGCAATGGCGCAAAAACAAAAGTCAAACAACGCCATTAACCCTTTCCGAGGGAAGCCCCCCGGCTGCTGCTGTTGGCTTAGTAAGTAATAATAAAATAATAAGCAAAAAGTGTCATCATTTGAAGGGCGGCGGTGCTGGCGCTGGCAAATCCTGACGGATTTCGTATGTAATTACTTCAATTAAACCATCTGTGACAATTGCCGCAGCCAAACATGAAATTCAACTTTACTTTTAAAATTCCCAATTGAGTTGAGGCGCATTATCCTGGCAACCAACCCCCAGGAGCCGGTAACTCAACGCGCTTTTACCTTTACCTTTGCGACGTTGTTGCCTTTTGCTACCGTTGTTGTTTCTCCTTCTGTCGCAGTTGTTGTGGTTGTTGTTGTCTGTTTTAATGGGGTGACATTTATGGCACTTTATCAACTCAAAAGTCAATAATGCCAGGCAAGCATCTTACTTAAACGTGGCTTAAAAAAAAAAACCGAAAAGAATATGATGAGGCATAAAAAACTGTTGAGAAAATTGTAATGCGATAAAAATGAAATCTTAAAATTTATGCCGCTTATTGTCAATTCCTGGCGCCCGTTGCCCGCAACTCAAGACTTAAGACAGCTAATGGGGCGCCCCAGCAGAAAACAACTTGGCTGCTCCCCAAAGTTTGTTATGACAACTGAAAGACATTTGAAATATACGCGCAAGTGCGGAAATGCGTATAGACGACTGCGAAATTGTTGCAGGGCATTAGGCAAATGGATCCCGCAGGATTAGCAGCCCAAGCAGCCCCCACTACAAAAATGTGGGGTGCAGATTCTTAAGCAGCCATTTGTTGACATTTAGGCGCTGGCCTGGGAATATAGCCTGAAACTTTGCGTAATTAGGAGTATCATTCGACGGCGACGGCGAGGCAGATCTTTGCCATGACTGACGCTGCTGACAACTTGATTACGTTTCAACAACATTGCAAAAGTTAATTGGCAGCGCTGCCTTAAAGCCTGATGAGCATTTATCACCCTCTCCGAGTGGCAAACATCAACAACTTCTTTAGGCTTGCGTGTCGTGACGGAGCCATGCAAAAAGCGAAGAATTCATTAGGCCCGCCACGTAGAGTCTTGTTACCACATTTTTCAATTATAGCACATTTCCTGCCTTTGGCTCTTGGCCTTTTCACGTTTGTGCCGACTTGTATTTTTTGTTTGTTTTTTGCGCATTCTCTTGTGCGCAAATGAAGAATTATTGCATTTTAATTTGGCAGCCGCTGTGCAATGTGCCAGAACACGTGCAGGTGGTGCATTGGTTCGATGGCTTGGCGGCTTGTTGGCTTACTGGATCTGAACTCTTATCCTTGTCGTGGCAGCAGTTTAAACAACACGGCAAATTCCAGCTCTAATGAAGTGCAGTTCAAAGTTCAAACCGCCGACTAATTAGCTGCCGCCGCCAGCGAATGCGCCACTTCATTAAAATGAGTGCCCTCAAAAAGAACTCATTCTCTCAGTTGCTCACTCTGCCGGTCGGTCAGCCAGTTAGTCAGATAGCCAGTGGCTGTCCCACAAAAATTTATTGTTAAAAGCCGCTAATGAATTATTTACTGCCCATTTTGCAGAGCGGCATGTCCTTCGTGTCCTGATGATGCTTGCGTTGTGGGGTTGATATGTTGGCTCTGACTCCTCTATGCATAACTCAACCAGTTCACACCCTTAATTAACTGCCTGCGTGCGTGCGTGTTACCACATTTAACAACATGCCCCGCCATAAGCCTGCCCTGACTGTTGGCCAAGTTGTTTGTATTTTCAAAGTGGCCAAATTTGCGTGTTTTTTTTTATATCTATGACTTATGCGTATATTGAAGGGAATCGCCTTACTGAAATTATGTTTATTAGGCATTTAATAAGCGTGACAAAGGTTGTTCCGGACTATATTAGATAGGTGAAGCGTACACTTAGTTCTTTAAAATAATTTGCCCAGAGCTGAAGTCGGCCTAATGAATTGAATGATTTAATAGTTTAATTTATAAAAACATTCTCCTTACTGATTGACCTAACGAATTAGTGATTGGTAACAAAAGTACTACACAAATCATAAGAGCTAAGACGCTAAGACGGATTATCAAAAATGCAAATCGAAAACGTGAAAAATTGCTTTAAAACGGTTGAATAAAACGGTTTATATACCATTCGATTAGCTTGAAACCTAATGGAATGACAAAATCCATTGAAAAATGGAGATCGAAAGTTGTATGAATAAATGTCAAAGCGGGTATTGCCGGTCTTGCCGTGGAACATTTTGTGCTAAACATTTTAGATATAACCATCTTGATCTTCACTTTTATTTAAAAATATGTTTTAAGTGCATCGAAAAGAACCAAGTGTTGGAATGAAGAGTTTACATGTTAGTCTTGCGGTGAAAATCTTGAAGCTGAAGAATAAACATTCGTTTACATTCGTTCCTGCTGCATTTGCCACCAAGAACGTATCAAATAAATTCTCACAAAGATCTTTAAAAATGAATTAAAAAAACAAAGTTTCATACAAACGATTTTCCCGATTTTTCCATGCATGCGGGTAAAATTTGCCAAGACCCCGTCTTTACGTGCACCGTCATCACATAAATTAACTACAGTGAAAATATCAGCTCCCTTGCTCTTACGGTTTGGGCTGTGCGTTGATCAACAGTCAGTCAGTCTGTCAGTCAGTCAGTCAGTCAGTCAGTCAGTCAGTCAGTCAGTGAGTCAGTAAATCGGAGTAGGAAATGCTTTGTATGGGCGATGTTGGAAGTCTCGCCTGATCAATTTCAGGTTTATTTTTCAGACTTAAGACTTTCACCCGCAAATGTGCAAGATTGGTGGAGAGCTTTTGCAACTTATTGGTTTGTCCAAAATTTAAGACAAAACACTTGGACCTGACAGGGAAATATCAGCTAGAATAAATTTAAGCATTGGCCCATTGTTATATACATACTGATATAATAGACTTTAAGTTTCTCGCTCGTTGAAGTTCAACTCGCTTTCCCATTTTAAAGAAATCGCTCTGAATATCAACGATTATACTCGAATCTATCCATCAATCATGTGCATATGAATAGCCATTTTAATCACTCCGAATTACGCAGAAGAGCGCACATGATGAATTGCATATTATGACGGCGTATCCTTGTTGTTAGCAGGATATGTGTATGGTTGCGGGAATAAGCGTATTCACTTGACAATCACTTTTGTTTTATTGCGATTTGCCAGACCTGACTCAGTCAACAGCAACAGCAACAACAACAACAACAAGGAAAACAACCGCACACCGAAGAACAACAGCAAAAATTTCCACTTGGGATAACTTGTGAGCAATTGCAACTGCAATGCGGCTGCGACTGTGGCTGTGGCAAAGACAATGAGCGGTGCCTGCCAAATTGTTGTGGTGCAAAAATGCGGGCATATGTGCAAAAAGGCAATCGACAACACCAACACAGCGTAGCCATCAAGGAGTAAGTGCAGCAGGAGCAACCACAGCGGCAACAACAACGGACCATTTACCAAGAAAATGAAAATTTATTGTCAGAAAATGAAGAAAGGCGCTTGCCAGCTTTAGCCCCGCCTGGTCTGCGGTTAGTGTTAGTTAGGAATAGCAACCACATAGAGAGCAGCAGCAACTGCAGCAACTAACAAGGCAATCAAGGTGATTCTTTGTTGTTTTAGCCCTTTCCATCTAAGGGAGAAACTATTATGGCTTTCTTAGGTCTTTAAGCAAAGAGTTTGTTCTCTCCGTATGGCAATTGTTTGGCTGCAGTTGCATTGTCATTGGAATTGCTGTCGATTTGTAGCTCAATAGACGCTGCGGGTGCAGTGGGCGGGCACAGCCTTGACGCGGAGCCAACGGCAGGCAACATCGGCAAACGGCTAATGGAAAATGTGCTCGCAAATGCCTAAAATGATAATGGCCAAACATTTAATGCACGTTATTGCTGGCCAGCAGCAAAAAGGCAATTTGCGTTTGGATTTGTTCAGGCCATACCACTCCAGTTTCCGTTTCTCCCGTTGCCTTGCCCCGCGCTGCCCTTGCCCATTGACACGCCAGCGTCGAGAGCTAATGCAGTGAAATATTTATTGAAATTGTCTGGTCCCCGGGGGCCAATGCGGCGTTGTCAGTAACTGCTATTAGGCGGGGTCTTTAGCCAGCTAGTAGCAGCAGGGAATTGGATTGGATATTCGTATTTGGCTCCGACGCCTTGGTAAGGCTGCCCAAAATGGCGGCAGCCAAATTGTCTGAGTGCGGGCCGCAATTTATGAGCCTCTGTTTGGCACTTTTAGCATTATTGCCTGGCCGCATGTTTGGCTCTTTGCTTGGCGCATAAACAGTCCAAAGTAGGGCACAAAGTTCGCACAGTTCTTGAGGCTCGCGCACTTGATTATAAATAACGCACATTAATGCAATTAACAACAAAAAGGCTCGCGCATTCACCTGAAAACGAGTGAGAGCGGAGAGACGAGAGTCCTTCACTCGAGTGCCACTTCA